GAACCTCAAAACTGTGCTCCGGTGTGCCGCACGGCGTTTTGAGAGAGCTGTCAACTTTTTCTCTTTGTTTTTTGCTACTCAAGTTATTGAAGAAAACACAGAACAAATGTTTCCTGTGAAACATGCACACCAAACCTGTGTCTTGGCGCAGTGCAAAACTGCTTAGCACGGTGGCATGAAAGACGCCACATAATAATAATACTAATAACAATAATCTTTATTCTGTCATGTTACGGTTACATGCCAACAAGACCAGGCAAAAGGAAACAGACGTAACTGTTTCTTGACTAGGCCTATATCCCGTCGTGTAATGTAATGGTATTCTTGATACACAAAAACTTTTGCATTAACAGCGCTTATATTTACAGGATATTTGTCTGTGTTTTTTTGTGCTTAAAATGTATATTTAGGTTTTCTTTATCCTTATTTTGTTCAAAGCAGTGCTGATGGTCTTATGAAATTCTTCTGTTCATGTTACAATTTTGTTCACTTGATCATTCCTTTTCGTACTATTGTTAATAAATTTGTGATTCAAAACTGAGTTTGTTTGAAAGATAACTCCTTTCTATACAATTTGATACTCTTTGGGTGTCATAAAAATTAACGTTTTATAGACTACCTAAAAATGTTCGAATTTCTCGTGGTCACAAAAGTGTTAACGATGCACTGCTTTCCATCTGCACCTGGTGTGATAAATGGGGATTGAAGCCCAATGTACCAAAAACTACATCTATTGCAGTAACGAACAAGCAAAATCTGTTAGTATTTGATTATACCATGAATAAAGCTTGTGTTAAAAAGACTTCGGAAGTGAAATATTTGGGCGTCACGCTCGCAAGTAAGGTAAGTTAAGGGACGACGTGGCAATGAAAATTATCTTTGTCATTTATCAAGCCAAAGGGATGAAATTCGGCATACAGATGTTGTTTGTTGTGCTGATATCATAACTGAAATCAGTTTGAGCTATCTAATATAACTTTTGAGTTGTAACACTTGATAGATTCATTGTCATCCCAAAATTGATTAGCTAATTGGACAAAAGTGCACCAAAATTTTTGCATAAGGATATTCACAAGGATCCATTTTTGCCATAATGCTATTGATTTATTTTTAATATTTAAGTAGGTACACAAAAAATTTTTTGAAACGTTGTGGACATAATGTTTTACCAATAACTTTCGCAAAAAGCCAATTACAGAAGTCTGTATAATGTGCACACAAATACGAACAGCATTAAGGCACTCACCAATGTCTAAGAATCTAAGTGCAGGAAACAGAATGGCTATAGCTTAATTTATTGTGAAATGGCACAGGGATGACTGACAGCAACTGCTCAAAAAATGAAAGCTGAGAGAATGGAGCTCAAAGAAATTGGAGCTAGAATCTGATAAAATGGAACTCTGAAGGAAGCTGGCTTTATTTTTTATTGGAGAAATGCATCTTTGTGGCTATCTTGTGCTCCAATCTGTCCACTTTATGATGATGCCAATATAGTGGCACTGTGCCAAGGGAAAGCTTCAAATTTGCATTTTGCTATGCCCCATTTTCACACAGCTTTTGACGACAGACCACCAGTAAACAGCTTTTTTCTCAACATCCACTACTTATTTTGATCTAAAATAACACTATGATGTAGAAAACTTCTTTTGGTATTGCTTTGTTTTGGTCTCAAGATTACAGCAAAAAAATTAATTAAAAACTGAACATTGTGACCAAGTTTACAATTACCATATAAGCAACATCTGTAGCAATGCACTCAAAAAGTTAGCATTCATAAAATGCAAACTACGTCTTACGTCACCATCTGCAGAAATTAATCGCTTACGAAGCTGTTATCAGGCCTAAGTTAGAGTTTGCAGACCTCGTCTGGGGTCTGTATCAAAAATAATTAATTAAACAAATAGAAAGGGTGCAAAAACTAGCATTAAGGTTCATTTATTGGAGCTACTGTCGTTTCGCGAGCGTATCTGCCCTTCGCAATAAGGCAAAGCTAAAGACATTCACTCACCATAGAATGGTCTCTTGGCTTAAAATCATTCATTAACTATATCATGGTCACTTCGAAATACCACCTGAACGTTACGTAATCGACCTGCCTATGTGCTTCGATTGCATTCATCATAATAAGACTATTAAGCAACCAATCAGTCACCTCTACATTCATTATTTCCTCATGTTGTTACACTGTAAAACAAGCTACCAAAAGAAGTCCGTGCGAAAGAAAGAAAGTTAAAAAAAATAAAAAGATCAAAGGTGGGAAGTCGACCCATTAAGGAGAAACTCATGCGCAGCGGGGTGGGCTCCTTTCGCCTACCATGGTGACAATTTTAGATTGCCTGACACATGTCGAGAACTCGCCAGCACAGGATCATAATCAGATGCGGACTTCCAATTACTTTGGCTGTGCACAGTTTGGTTTAATTGTTTGCACTCTTCCTCGTTACTTCATTTTTTTTACTTCGTTTCTTTGTCTTTTTTTTTCCTGGTCTTCCTAGTTCCCTCTCACTTTTGTAAATATCTTTCAAGGCAAGAGGTACGCGGCAGCAAACAAGCTTGAACGTCGACGTTAGTTTTAACTCGTGCCCAGACGAAAAGAGAACTCTTCCCGAAACTGTTAGAAAATAAATACGTCTATCACTGTTGACAGCGCTTCGATAGTGTTCTAACCCACATGTGTGTGTGAGTGTGTGTATATAGGTATATGTTTTTCTTATAATCCATTTCTGATATTGCTACTAACATTTATGTACCCACTGCTGCTTGGGCCAAAATAAGGTCTGCAGTATTTGTAAATAAAAAACAAAAACAAAGTGAACTTGTACGTTACATAGTACCGTATTTACTCGCATAATTTGCGCACTTTTATTCGTGAATTTGGGGTCCTGAGAAGGGGGTGCGCAAATTACGTGGGGTATTTGCAAGCGCATTCAGAATAACGCGCACAGTATATACGTTTCAAAAAAAGAAATAAATTGAAGCACTAACAAATGTATTTGTTATTTTTAAAAAATTAACGCATACTTTAACCAGTCAGATCCAGTCACGTGCGGTCTAGCAGGAATCACTGATCACGAAGTGCAATTGGAAATCATCGTCACGGCCGTTGCCATCGCCCTCCCAAAGCACATCGTCCTCGGTCCCACCGAGCGCGTTCGAACGTCCAATTTTTTTGAAGCTCTTTCGACAATGCTGGGAGAAACTAGGTCCAATGACACGACAATACCGGAAGAACTAAGCATCCCCACATAATTGAAAAGGCCTCCTTCAATGGCAGGAAACTTGCATTGACAAGCACGTACTCTTCTGCTCTCTCGCGTACCGAGCGCGCCGTTCGTCACGTTGAACTACATCCCCTTGAAGTGCTTTGCAGCAGCACGCCTCCAGTTTTTTTCGGCGAAATTTACAACAGCGAACTTTAATTTTGCCGTATATATAATTATTGTAGCACATGGCAAGGAAACTGCCAAAACGTGTTGGAGGGATGGCGAAACTTAAACTTCCTATGTCGACCAAGCGTGCATTTCGGCACAGATGCAGAGAACGATGGGAACAGTTGGAGCGACAGGCCCTCCCACGCCGCCAATGCAGAAAGTCGTCCGTGCCGTGGTGATGTAGGCGTGCAGTCTCTCCATTATCGCAGCGGCAGAGATTAGGAGATAGGGGGAGGCAAACGCTCAAGCAGTTCTGGCGACCTGTCAACAGGTTTGAGTTCGAGTGCGGTATTCTAGGGACCCTGGTTCGGGGCAAGTTCCCAGAAGAAGGGACGTCCCACTCGCAGTATGTTTGACAGGGCTTGTCTACTCGGCGAGGCGCGCACTCAGCCGAAGCATCGAAATGTCCAAAGGGGCGCACGCTGGCGAGCTGGCTCGGGTGGGTAAGGGAGCGCCAAATTACATGAAGGTGTAAATTATGCGCGTAAATACAGTATTTTAAGCTTTATTCATAAATTTTACGTACGTTACCCTCCCTGTAATGATCCCATGAATAGGGCTCACACTATCACATAACTTATAGAACAGCTGCCCCACATACAGGTATTTTTTTAAGAAAGATGTCACCCTTTGAGATGATGACTGATTGTGACGATAGCACTGCTTATGCTCAACACAATATTAAAATTTAAGGACACTTCTTATACTCCAAAGAGTGTTTGGCTAATACTTGTGTTTTTCGAGGAGGGGTCGGTCAGACCAGAATACAATGCACATGCCTCCCTCCTCACATGATTGGGCACGCTTGGCACATCAACACTATGCAAGCTAAGCGAGGGTGCTGTAGTGTCCGATGCGACCCGTGTCCATCCGTTGGTGCGCCCCGGCGGCCACCTGGCCCCGTGCCAGGGCACAGACGGACGTGAGCAAGAGATATTAACGGCTTTCACTTAAACCTTGTTGGCATACCACTGTGCCTATTATTGGCACAATAAAAGCTGGGAAGAAAGGACTTCAATGAAATTGTCATTGGCTGCACTCTGGCCCTGCAAGAGAGATAAACTTCAGCAGGCATCCACCCTGGATTTGCACTGGACTGATAGTGCCTACTGTCGACTAATAATGAACCAAATGTGGCACCCACATCTATCTTGCATGATAAGTTCTAGGATGCTAATCTTAATGTGACAGTTCCATCTAACTTCATTGAAACTCACATTTTCTGTTTTCAACCTGAAATAATTTCTGCCATAGCATTGCTCTCTAGATGTTACCTTTTTAGCTTTCCAACTAAAGGAAGCCGGAAAGAGCTATCCTGGCAGAGTACATGTCCACAAACTCTATTGAATTTGTATACCAACCTCTATTGATGACTGAGCGGCAACACGCTGCGTATTTTGCATTATGCTTTTATGATGCACTCACGTGTTTCCTTTAACAAAAGAGAGGGTTTGTCATCGCAGCATCAAAAAACATCTATCTCTGATGTGGGTGCCTCTCTGTGTCTCTTTGAGAATGTTTCTTTTTGCTTATAACAATGGTGCCTATGCTAAAAGGAGTGGCACCCACTGGATCAAGGGCTGCAGGCGAGCGGTGCACTGCTGCGACAGGCCTCTGGAGATGCGAGTGCCCAGCGTCTCTGAGGTGGCTCCTTTCTTCACTGCAGCCGACGAAACGGCCACTTTGCTGAGCGGCAATGGAGACGTGAGGAGAACGCGGCGGTCGTATACGCTATGCAGTGCACTTGTCGGAGGCCGAGAATCTTCCTGGCAGACGCCGACACGTGCCACGGGGCTAACGGGACGCCTCTTGGCCACGACGCTGTCACCAAGTCCTGGTCCTGTTGGCATCAGAGGTTGGTGTTAGGCAATAGCATTCAGAACGGTGAACACACTTTTCCATCAGGACAACCAGTGGCAGCTGTGTTACCGCAATTCCGCATGAAATACGCCTTTGCCGTGGCATTAGTAAAAAAAAATGCCAGGCCTGCGCAGAATGGACAGCACAGTCACAGCGAAAGCTAGAAAAGCGGCCTTTTAAAGCCTTGCTTGCTTGCTTGATCCTTTTTCGTGGCCCTCACCCACTAAGGGGGATTGGCCAAGAAGCCGAGAGTTAATATAAGTCAATACCTTAAGATTATCCAGGCTAGAAAAATGGTATTACTTTGTTTTGAATTGGCGGGATTATTTTGGCATAATGTGAAAAAAAAGTGAAAGAAAAGAAATAATAGAATTTGTTGAATAGCTAAGGTGTAATCGTTATATGAAATTCTTCAGAAAATTCAGTCATTACAGTATAATAGTTAAATATTAAATGTTAGATTGGCTAGTAAAAACCGAGAGCTGATCAATGGCTCAGCAAGCTTTTTTTAAACACTCTATACTACAAGCACACTGCTGGATACCCACTACGCCATAATTATAAATTTTGTGTAGTAGGCCAGCATTCATGATGATGATGATGACGGCCTAAAGGCGCGGCACACACCCACTCTAAGGGATTGGCCAAAAAACGAGTATTTAGATACGGGGATCACATATTTTACTTTTAAATCTAATGATTCACTTAAAAAACAGCACCAACAACGAGGGACGAGAGAAAGAAGGAGACAGACAGCGGCACTGACTTACAACAAGATTTATTTGCTAGAACCGCACAATATATACTTGGGCAGCATCTGACAAAAAAAGAGAAAAATACAAAACAAACAAAACAGAATCCACCTAACAACCACGCCACGTTAGCCTAATCTAATGAAATATAAAATGGTTAGAAGAAATCAAATTTCACTAATTGAGAGATTTGCAATCAGAACTGTCTTGATTTTATAAAGAATCTTTCTACAGCAAAACAGATATCCTGGTGACAATGACTAAATGAGGAGGCTCCCAAGGAGAAAATATTAAAGATAATGAAATCCAATTTAATTCAATTAAAAGCCGCTTTAAGAATGTTTTTCCTCGGTGACTTGAAGTGACTACACAATAAAAAATAATGCTTTCGCTGCAAAGCATTCACTATGCTATCCTTCCTCATTCTTTGGAAAAGAGTGGTATCCGCTACACACTTGTTAGGAATTTTGTGAAAATTTTTTTGTGCAGTCGCTGACAATGATGAATAAATATGCCTGAAGTGGGCATGCGCCACAGTTAATAGGTGATCAAGGACAATTTTCTAATATGTTGGAGCATTGGACAACCCACTCGTTACACGATTGACATTGTATGACGCCTGGCTGTTCCTCTGATGTTCTAAAATGTTTTATTAATCATATTAACAAAATTCCTTGTTGACGCCACTGAATACGCAGACCGCTCGCGACTTGCAATCATGGTCGTTGATTGGAAAGGGGAAAACGAGAATATCGGCAAGTATTCGATGTGATCATGCACAAGAAGCGGAGGAAGTAGCAATGGCGCTCCCGCTCACAGATCCGTCATGCACTACTGTCCTCTGTGACTCGAGACAAGCGGTAAGAAACTTCGCCAAAGGATGGATCTCGCAACAAGCGGCCAAAGTCCTGCGCAATAGAAAATTTTATCAAGAGGTAGAGCTTCAAACCAGACTCCTGCGGTTTCTGGCTCACATGGGAGAGGTATCAGAGACACACCGCAACCTAAACGAGACGGCACACGCCAAGGCGCGCGAGCTCGTGAACCCCGCCGGCGACCGTCCTCTATGGGGATACACCAAGGACCGTTTGACGACCTAAAAGAAAATTACCAAGGCTTTCTACCTGGCCCGCCGAACCTTCCCTCCACCCAGCGAGAAGCTGAACAGGATGCAGGCGGTGGCTCTACGACAGCTGCAGATGCACACGTATCCCAACCCATCGCTGTTTAACAGACTATACCCCAATATATATCCAACCAATATATGCAAGATATGCCATATTGAGGTTGCCACATTAAATCACATGCTCTGGGACTGCAACAAAAATCCGCAAGGTGCTGAATTCGGAACCCTTCCGCTGTGGTGGGCTGCTGCCCTGTGCAGTGCCAGCCTCAGTGACCAACTCTGGGCCGTCCAGCAGGCCCGCGAGGCGGCGGTCACAGGCAAGGTCTTCATGTCCCCACGCGAGAGACCTAAGGCCCGGTCGGCGAAAGCTCTGCCGGACTTCCAATAAAGTTGTTACCAACCAACCAACAAGATTCCTTTCCCGATATCAAGCTTGCTTAAGGCCAGTTTAGAAACGAGTTCCAAGCACTGGCGTGGCTCAGTAGTAGAATACTGGGCTGGCACGCAGCAGACCTGGGTTTGAATCCCATTTTGTCATTGGTGTTTTTTATTTACTGAGTTTCTTTCCCTCGATATTGGTTACGGACACCGGCAGCGGCGGCGGACAACTACAGCGCCGCGCGTGACCCGTGTTCTGATCTCATAACAGCTTTCGCTATAAAAGAGCTGCCTCCCCTCTTCCCTCTAGATTTTCTATTACGGGTTCGAATCCTATTCTGTCATTGGCGTTTCTTATTTACTGAGTTTTTTTTTTCCGCTCGATACTGATTACGGACACCGGGGGCGGAGAACTACGACGCTGCGCGTTATCCTTGTTCTGATCTTACAACAGCTTTCGCTATAAAAGGGTTGCCTCCCCTCCTCCCTCCAGATTTCCTATTAACGGCTGAATCTATTCCAGATATGTAGTATGCAGCCTCTTTCGTAAATGGGTGTGAATGTCTTATTACAAAAACAATATATTTTGTGTGCCTCTCTCAGTAAACCACTACTTTGCTTCCCCTACCCAGTGTGGACCTTGTGGGCGTGGACCACGTCCCAAAGAAAGATAGGAGCAACAAAAAAGCGGTCTCTCACAGCATGAGCCACTGTTTCAGCGGCTTCAATTATAAACTACACTATTACACTACACTACTCGCTGACAGTGCTACGATATAATTTTTTAGCATGCTATGGCTTTGATTCTTAGTTACTGTATATATGTTGAAGTTTAGATGGGCCTAATACGCATCCTTCATTGTGTGACTGACTAATCCCGTTGTGCTGCTTCTGGAGGGTTCCACAAAGGTGCACGAGTACATATTCTAGTCACTTACAGCTCAATGCTCTTGATCTTATCTGTAATTAGGAGATAGGTTGGCAAACAAAAGATAACTTTGCAAATGCAAATTCATCATGTGAGTACTTCTGAATACTTTAAATCCCATGCAATGCTTTCAATTTCCTGCACAGAACAAGGTACAGAGCATCAAAATTGCTCCCCACTAAGGTTACATTGTCATGAAAAACATCTACACTGTCAGAGACACGTTATAAACAAAGCTATAAAACTTACATAACATGGTCCCCACATTTTCTCATCACTTTCACAGTTGCTGCCACGCACACCTGAAAAATCCTATTGACGGCAGTGTCACATTTCATTACGCCTATGTGGCACTGCGTCCTTCACTAGAACTAACAGGACAGAAGAGCTTTGTTGTCAAGTTTCCTTGGTGCATAACACATTCGAAATTCAGGGGCTCATGTACTTAGTGCCTGGATGAAATGGCTTGGCATATGTTTGTAAACATAACACACTGCTTCTATTTTGCAATATTTAAGAACAAGCTTTTACGCAATAATTCTGCCAATTCTCAGTTTAGATGCGCACAGTTTAACTTCTTGAAAAAGCTAAAGTGCTAATGCAATGTGTCTACTTCTTTAGTATTGTTCTGATTGTCACAGTAGCATTGAGTAGATCTTAATTCAAGATTGCCGAGACGGCTCTTTTATTCATGCAATAATGTATTTTAAGAACATGACTTCATTACTATCTTAAGAAAAGTCATTGCCGCATATTCCTAGCTTTGGCAAGACTTCAAAAAAACAAGACCTATTTTTTCTGGTACCCACCATTATACTGTACTTGCCCATATATTATGGAAAGGAAATAACGTATTTCATTACACAGTTATGGCTATACTGAAATAAGTGATGAAAGAAAGTCATTTGCATTCTGGCCAATTGTCAGAAAAATTTGCCTAGCGTGCATAAATAACTATTCCACAAATGTTCACAAGTGTAATTGTACAATATGACATGAACATTCTATAATTTTCATTCCAACTACTCAGCTAGAACTTTGCTGTAGGAGTGTTTTTAAAGCTGCTTGTACGAAGTTCATTTTTCAGACAATAGTTTAATTAAAGTTCATATAATAGTGAGGCTCCTGTCATACTTTGCCGTAGCTAAAAGTACCCTATTGCAATTAATTACAAAATATTCGATAAGTATCTTTCAATTCACCTGCTCAAGGGCAGTTTATAAGCTTACAATGAGGGGTCACCATGTAATCAGTAGGTCCTCTCTACACTACTGCTCTACAAAAGTTGTAGAAGAAAAATTACAGCGAATTTTATGATGGGCCTTTCATGGGGCCCATCATATGTCAAAGGTTTAAAGGAACACTAAAGAGCAAAACAATTTTTCACATATTAGTATAGTACAATTTCACAGTCCCGAAAACACCACTCTTACCAGGAGACGTCACTTGGTGAGTGAGAAAACACACGAAAAGAAAATGCAGCTGGAGACGCCACTGCAAACTCCCCACACCAAACATCATGACGTCATAGATTTCGACGGCATCTGTTGGGTATTGCGTAGTTTCTAATAAAAAAAATGAAGCAGACTGTCATCTACGGGCACCACAGACGTAACACACGGAGTTTCAGAAAATTTCGTTGGGCCCATGTCACAAAAGCACGAAAAATACGGCTTAACGTTCATGACGTTATGTACGGAGAATTTGGAGCGAAATTTAAAAATGAAATTTCAACTTGATTTTCTCAAGTAATAAATGAACTTATGATCGTGAAACTTGTGACATTAAAGTTCTCAGAGTGCAGTTTATCAATCTGTATCAAAACATTGTTCCCCTTGAATGTCGCTTTTAAACAAAAGCAGCAGCCACAAAGGAACTCTTGGAAGGGCAGAAAGAATTATTTCCACTTGCAAAGAAATAGTAAAGCCTATGCAAAGCAGAAATACACATAAAGAAAGGTGTATGAAAGAACCAGCCAGCTAAAGAATACAATTGCTAACTTGAACTCTGAGGAGATTTCATTCCTTAAAGAAAGCTAGGCTTTTTCTTAGGAGTGCAATTTCTTTTTTTGTTTTTCTTTGCAGGTTTTCCTAGACTCAATTGTCTCACTGTACGGGTGTACAAAGGATATCTCTAAAGCACAAAATACGTGACGTGCTTTTCCTTTAATGACTAGAAACACAGGTTTCTTTGAGGACTGAGAGTTGTTTGGGCATTTCTGGCATCAAATATACATTTTTGGCATCACATTTGCCAGAAAAAAAGGTCATCCAAAAGTAAGTCTAGGGATTCACTTTCGGCTAAAACTTACATGTAAGTTGTCTTCTAACATGCTGCTGAGAGAAATGTAGAGGGTTAGCTCTGAAATGACTTAGTAAAAATGCAAACCACCGACCCAATGGACAATAAAAATGACAGGAGGCCATGAGACTTCCAAATGAGTTCATTGCAAAACATGGTTTCTTGTATGCATTTCTCATTTTATTGCAGTAGATATAAAGAGTCCATGTTGCAAGAAATGCATAGTTCATTAGCAAGAAAGATCAATGTTGACCATGAGTATAAAGATGCTGATGTAAGCAAAAAAGAACTAGCAGTTCCCTGTGTAAATACAGCCAACGAGCTAATATTACAAATGCGACTTTGACTACTAAGTGCCTGATCTCGCTGCTGGCTTTCATGAAAGCGGTAGGGTGGAAGAGTGTCTGCTACGCTCTATGGTGGGAACGACCAAGCGAGTGATTTTGCAGCACGTGCAGTGCAAGCCATCCCAAGCAATGGACGAACCACTGGACGGACAACAGGAAAAAGCGATAATTTCCCGCGTTCGCTGTTGTGAGGAGAGAGGGCAGTGACGAAAAGACAGAAGGAGAACGTGGAAGAGCGATGCAAGCGGTGATGCAGGAGGGAGCTTCGACGAAAGATTACTTGACTGCTATGCAGAATGCTGGAGCTCGATTCCAGCTCACGCTGCGACTTTTGTTCTTTACTTTCATAGAATAGAATATTACATCCTCCAACAACGTCGACAGTCTCCCTTCTACGACACAGGCTGCTCCACTCTGTCACATTGACATTTTAAGTCTGGGGTGACACAAACTGTTAATCGTCTGTTGCACATACTCTCATACTATGGGCAGCTGTATGCAGATGTGTGCCACAAGTGACTGGTGCAAAGAATTTCATAACATTTGCAACAGGGAAATCGTAACATTTGTGCCATGACCTGTGAATCAAGTCCTTCATTCAATGAAGTCCTCCTGAGTTAATTTGGTACATACGGAGCTAAGGACATGACTACGAAGCATTGAGACATAGGTAGACAGACAAATAGAAATGGTCCAACTGTCCTTGGTTCGCAAAGAAATGCTTTGCATTTAATAAGCAGGATTTGAGATAAAATAGATCTCGTACATTTAGCACGACTGTGACACGTTTTACCACAGAGCCATGATTGTGCTTGAAATTGCTTGTAAACAAGACCTTGTAGAGGCATCATATCAGCAAAAGCGTCATATTAAGGAAGCACTGACAAAAACTTCAGATATTTTCGAATTATTTCTTTAGATAAGAACACAGGTTTCAAGAACCCTAAAAATAAAAGAGACTATTGCTGTGCCCGGGAATGCATCAAATATGCATTCCATAATACTGCCTACATTAAAATTACGCTTTCGATATTTAGGAGACAGCTTCCCATTGACAAGTCATCTCAGTGTGATGTCACAAAGAGAGAGCAATTCGAGATGTATTAGCAGCATATTTCGTTATCTGTTCATGACGCACATTAGCAATGATAAGTGAATTGTCCAGTGATTCCGACAGTGATTTCTGTGATTTAAGCTCCAAGCATGACCCAGAGTTCACACGCTTAGTGGAACGATGCTGACTCTTTGGGATAATGTTTACTTCGGTAGGGCTTGCCGATGCTTAAAGACGAAAACCCTTATATCAAAGTACAAGAATACCTTATACGTGTCTTTGGAGTCCAGTGAGGGGTGAGCATTAACACTACTTATCAATGAAACAAAAAATGGCTTTTTTTCAATGTCTCAAAATCGTGTCAGTGCTTCTTTAAAAGATACAACATTGCATGGCAGAGTCGCACTAGGCATCACACCATGTACAGTGCATAACAAGTGGGTGGTGGCTTGAAGCTGTCCATCCATAAGCGATAGGCTCATTCATAGTTACCTGTCAACCTCACCACAGTATAAACCAAGCAAAAAACTATGTTCGTGATGATAATGACACACATGCTGTCTTACAGCGGCATCGTGTGTACTTTGCTACTTCCCAAAACGGTGAATTGTGGCCTAATGAGTGCTTCACAGCTGTACTTTACTGTAGACGCCCTAGGATATTTTACAATATTAACTGTAACGTGCACAGGCATTCTCTTCCTGATGGAATGGTTCAGGTGCCCACTGAGAAGCAATGCATGGAAAGAGTACGAGAAGGCGATGCAAATGGGGCCTGAAATGATGTGGCGTCACACTATTAATTGAACTGCTTAAGCATCCTTCAAGCTTTAAACGCCAACAAAAGTGCATGTTACAGTGCACCATAGACAACAAATGTACATAAACAAGTAATGGATGGCTTGAGTGTCGTCACGCAGCTTCTAAAAGGACCTGGGAGTCTACGATGGTGGCTTCAATGGCAATAAAGTGGTGTCTATGTGAAAACGGGGCAGCGGGAATAAGATGCATTTGACGTACTGATAAGATCAATGTGACATTGGTAATGCCACGTCCCCACATGTTGGTGCATCAAAACGGCAGTTTCGGTGACGTCAGTGCAAGCCATCTATAGTACCACCGTATTGAAACAAGACAATTTATGGCCATGCAACATGCATACTTTCGTTTGAAACGCCTCAGTTTGGGTGATTCTGGTGAAGCTTCGACTCAAACACATAGATCAGAGCCAACATTATTTTTAGAGCAGACTCATCACGACATGATGTGATTATCTCGAGCATAACAGTCCTTAGACCAAAAGATTTGATGTTGCATTTCAATCCCTAAATGCTGCACATTTCAGTTTGTGCTTAAAACTGCCTGTCCAATGAAAGCATGTCATACATACCTTCCGCCGCACTCTCTGAAGGCGATATCAATATCCCCTTAGTTGAAACATCTCCCGTTGGGCATTGAGAGCTTGACTCACACTTGCTGCTCGACAGATCACCCTCTTCCGGAAGATGCTTGGGCGATGAGCTCTGCGCTCTGTAGTCTCTAGAATCAGGTGGCCTTTGCATTTCTGGACTCTTGGGCAGAGCGTTGCTCTTTCCTACATCCTCGCTTGACCTGTCACTAGGCTTTTTATCATTGCCTCTTGATGCAGACAAACTTGCATGATGTGCATCAGCACTATGCTTCGTTTGAGAGTTCTTGTAAGGCTGGCTGTCTTTAAAAGTGTCAAGTTTTCCAGCACCCCTTTCAGTTGGGGCACTCTTTTTCAGCTCTTTGGCAGTGGGAGCTGGCAGCTCGGCTTTTGTGTCTGCTTGTTGCACTGCCCTCTCGAATGCCATGCCTGATCTCTCCTCCCCTCGGGAAACATGTTCAGCAGCTGCGCTCGTATTCTTTGCAGAGATGCCTTTCGTGCTGGCATTACTTGTTGCCGACAGGCACAGAAGGGAGAGCTGGTCCTCCAGTTCTTTCAGCTGGTCTTTGAGCCGTCTGCCTCCGTCAGGAAGGGTGTTTAGCTTGATGGTTCCAATCACTTTCTGCACGTATAAAAACAGAACTAGTGTTGCGAACCAATGAAGCTTTGAGCATGCTTATTTTTTTCTTTTCGCGTGTGTATGTGAGGCCACCTTAATGAAAGTAGTGCACAGCTTGTCATTACCCTTTTACACTCGTAGGGTGAAAAACAATGCGAATTTTGAATTGGTTGACAGATTTTTTACATTTGTATCATTGCTTCCCGACATTTATTACACTCATAATTGCGTCCCCGCTTCTTTCAGACTTTTTTTCACCATTTTTAAGAAAAATGAGGTAAACGTGGCGACATAGAACTCCCGCTTTCATGCATCAGTTTCGCGTTCCGGGATGCAGCAAGGATCAGAAGGATGCAATAATATTAAAAAGCAAGTAAAGCTGCTACGGGGCCTAGTTGGTACGAATGCCGAATGCGTGGTTATTTGCGCTGCCACGAACTGGACGAAGTGACCACGAAAAAAAAAAAAACACACACACACACACACAGGACGTATCATCCTGTGTGTGTGGCCAAGTGTGAGTCAAGTTCTCTGGGGTCACTTCGTCTAGTTCCTGGCAGCGCGATTAGGACATGCATTGTAACGTATACATTCAAGAACACGTGCAAGCGATAGTACACACCCGTGAAATGAGGGCGAAACAGGCGCTCCCGCTGTTTGCATGGAAGTAGCGCGTCAACTTCGAAACAGAAGCACCGTGCTCGCGTGCTTCATTTGAAAAAAAAAACAAGAAAGGTGCAAGCACGGTACTGTAGCGTAAACTCTAACCTTTTTCTTTTGAATCTCCAACTCCAGTGCCTCTCTTGACTTAGTCGTGGGTGGGAACGTAGCCGCCACTTTCTTAGTCTCTGACGAGCCTTGCAGCGGTGGTGCGGGTGGCATCACCACTACGTGTTGGCCGGCCACGCGATCATCGCCACGGTGACGCGAGAACGCCTCCGATTTTTCTCGACGGACACTCTCGGGTTGCTCGCCCGTTTTTTTGCCGCCCTCACCCGACGATTCCATACTTCGCGCCACAGCATAAAACACGCGAAGCGTTGTCAGCGAGGCATCGCGCGTAGACAAATGATAAACTTTTTGGTTCACCGCCAAGATCGCAAACCCACGAGTCGACAAACCACGAAAGTTATTTTGCTATCTTGTTAGTATCGTACGTAAAAAGACTATTTAAGTTATTTTTCTACAAATCTAAAGGCTTCATCACACAAACAAAATTTATTCTTGTACTATCTAAGAAACACGAAACTTCTCGAAACGACTAGAAAAGTATGGCAGAGACTGCTGCGCCGCGCGGTGCACAAGCCACCCCAACGCCTTCTGTACTTTGAGTACAGACGCGTTGGGAGGCGTCAAAGTCACGGAGAAAAGAAATCTTCTGCACCGTACGAAAGTGACGTCACAAAAACTGTCACAACATACGTCGTTTCCGATTTAGCGTGTTGCTCGAATTTACTGAATCGGAACGTGACTCAGCTGCCCAGCATACGCTCACTTGCTGCTGCTGCTGGGGTACGGCTGGTTGCTGCTTCTGCGAGATGTCTAGAGGCCTTGTTCTGCTACATATTCGCAAGCCTCGAACATCATCTTCATCTAAGCTCAACCGCTCATTTTCATTGCTATTTTATATTTACTAACGTTGTTTATATCCATCCCAATACAATTTTTGTGATTTTTCGCGTATAGAAGGATTGCACGTGACGTCATCCGTTTGAGGCGCTAGCGGCGTTTGCCTCTACCATGACCTACTACACTCCTGACCTGCCCAGAGAGCACCTCTTCCAGCGCCCACGTTCTAGTTCATACCTTCTGCCGCTAGGGCCGTCACCTACGAGCGGCGTGGCGCTAGGCAGCACCTGTTCGCTGTCGTCTGCTTCAGCCATCGCTGTGGCAGTGCAAATCGTTCTTATTGTGCATGAATTGTGTATGAATGTGTAAAATATGGCAAATAAAGCGATATGATTCCTCGTCAGAGTTGGCTGCATTCGTGTGGACGTTTGAAGCAGAAATAGAACCGTAAAAAAAGCACACAAAGGGTCACAGTGGCAAGCAGACGGGAACTTTTCTACAAATGAAGGAAAATTTATTATGAAAATATTTCTTGAATGAAAACGTAGTCCAACGAGATAAAAAAACTATTGTTAGGCATTCATTGTTCACACTGAATCACGATGGTTCCAGACGATACGCATACACAAATTGCAGAAGATACGCAGAAACACAGTAGGTCGTGTGCAGAAACTTGCAGACGGCAGATAGCTGCAGTAGTCAGCTCTAATAGTGGCCGCGTGCAGTTTTTTTTTTTAGATGAGCTGACACCTCAAATGTAAGTATGGTGTATTGCTGCGTGCCATATTGCAAATCGGAACAAGGCAAACAAAGTAAAGTAAGTTTTCACGAGTTTCCTGCCACAGACATACGGGAAGAATGGATCGAGGCAATTGGAAGAAAAGGTGAGTCTTGTGTTTTTGAGAGTCGTTTCAATTCAGAACGAGTTGCAAGCTAGCAAGAAGCACCAGGGTGCTTTAGTAAACTTTATTTCCGTGTGTTATGCTAATTCACTGAGCTAAAAAACATGAAAGCTTTTTTAAAGTACCGCGGCTAATATGGCAGGCTCCACAAATAGTGCCAAGAAATTTAAATATAGCACACAAGAAAAAAGTAAATATACGAAATCTGTAAATTATGTAAAAATGCGTAGCGGTGGGTTGCGAGGGGTTCGAGCACCCTTCCCGAAGGCTGCCTCAACAAATGCCGCCGAAATCCATAAAAAAATTAATGATATGAAATATTTACGTGCTGCCTCCACAGTTTGTCTCTCTGTGTGTGTGTGTGTGTGTAACACCTGTCCAGGGCGAGTGTCCAAGGTAAGTGCTCAACAGGGGCACTGCGTTTCACCTGACGCGTCCTAAACAACCTAAAATCAGTTTGATATTCTATTACCAATGAGTACATTATTAGTCAAAAGCTTTATGAATACTAAATTGAAGTTTTTTTAGGCTGGAATGGCAAAAACAACCATGCAGCAAGACATTTCTACGCAAATATACAGCTTTAGAAGTCAATCAACCAGTATAGCCTAACTACTAAAATGTAACACATAGCACACGTTAGCCTTTTCAGCAAAAAACAATCACACGTATAGGCAGTTTGTCACAGAAGCAGACGCATGGTATCAGTCCGTCGCCCTCCTGCCGGCCGCACAGTAGCAGACGAACAGGTTATAGGTAGCGCCACCTACGGCGAGCGATTGAACGAGAGCGGGGACACGCGCTCCCATAGGAACCCCGCTATCTGAACAGGTCAGGAGTGTAGTAGGTCATGGCCTCTACTAGCTGAGGCGCCTTCGTCGAGGTCGGACGTGTTTTTGGAGAGCTCCGGAATGACAGCTACAGATAAGTGTTTTTGCATGTTTCCAGCTTGCCTCTGTATGTAGCGTTATGATAACGTAAGGCGCTAGCGTAAAGCTTGATTAGGTCTAGTACGGTGTACGTTTTTTTTTTTTTTTTAGTATTCTGTACTGTGTCTTTTTTTTCTCCAGCCACCACGTGGCTGAGGCCTGCGCGTAGACCGACCACGTGCATGCGCAGGTGCTGTGAAGTGTAGCGTATTTATTTATTATTGTGGTTCTTTTTGGCTTAGACCAGTGTATTTTAGTACAGTTTTCTAACACGTGGGCATCGGTAAACTGAGCTAGCCATGGTCAAAAAGACCGTAAAGTGTTCAGAGTGCGGGATAGGGAGGAAGGTGGAAATTAGTGCGGAAGAGAAAGCAGAAGATGACGCCAAGTGTAGACAGTGCGAGTTCGAGGAGAAAATGAAAAATATGATGGCGGTCCAGAGTGGGCTCATGGAGAAAATCGCAGAGCTGGAGAATGCATTGGCGAAGGAGCGAGAGAAAACGTCAGCCATGGAGGAAAGGCTCCGGGCAGCCGAGAAAGGCCTATCGAAGGTCGTGAAGGGGAACGAAGACGCAGGTGACGGCGGAAGCATTATGGCGACGACCCCCCGTGCGGGAGAGATGAGGGAAACAGGCATGACAAAGGCAGATACATTGGCCACAGGGCCCAGCTACCGGGAAGTAGTTTTGAGGGAGGGAGGGAGCAAACCAGCAGCCGTGACTCACGCTAGTCACCTAGTCGGCAGCCAGGTGCAGGTTTCAGAAGGAATGTCTGAACAGGTCATCATCGCCGGTGACTCAAATTTAGTCCGATGCGCAGCGGCAATCAAAGAAAGGGTGAAAGGCGACAAGAGAGTTGCGATAGGGACGTTCCCAGGACAAACGCTGGGGACAGTAATGAGTCAAGCGGGTGAACAACTCGCAGCTAAAGCTAACAAACGTAACCTCGTTGTAATTGCGGGAGGGTTAAATGACGTCCTGAAAAAAGAATCGTCAGGACTAGCGACGACCTTGGCGAAAGGGGTGGATGACATGCGCACCGTGTCCCCCCAGGTGCAAATTGTAGTATGCACAGTACCGGAAGTACCAGTACGCAACGTCAACCTGCAAAGAGCGGTAATCGACGCAAACAAAGAGATATGGCGAATTAGTCGAGAGAAGGGTTTCGAGGTAGTGGATTTAAACAGGGAAGTGCACAGGTGGGGTGGATTCCAAAGAGACAAGATTCATTTCGATAAGAGGCTTGGACACGAGGTGGGCTGGCGACTGGCAGGACGCGCAGTAGCTTTTTTGGGGGGCTCACGGGCCCTTCGGAGTCCGGGGTAGCTCGTAACAGGGAAAACAACCAGGAGGACGCTTTGACAGGTAGAATTGCGAAAAACCAGAAAAGAGGTAAAAGAAAAAGGAAAAAGGCGCGTGTTGCAATTAGTTACATAAACATGCAGGGTGGCAGAAAGAAGGCAAAATGGTTAGAGATTGAGGAGCAGTTAAACAAAGAACAGATAGGCGTGTATGCGGTTACAGAAACACACCTTAGAGACTTGGAAGAGCCACCACATATTAAAAATTATGTTTGGGAAGGGTGTAACAGGACCATATCGGAAAGGAAAGGTGGGGGTGTAGGAATGCTAATTCACCGCGGAGCCAAATGGGTTAGAGTGAAACAGACGTGTTCAGAGCACCTCTGGGTTCTGGGCACAGTAGGTGGAAAGGAAACGTGGCTAGGGGTAGCCTACTTGTGGACGGGGAATAACTGCAGAGAAAAGAATCAGGAGATAGTGGATTGCATGAGTGCGGATATTAAGGAATTTGGTAATGGGGCCGAAATCATCCTTCTAGGGGACATGAATGCCCACATACATGACCTTGACGGATATTCAGACACCAATGGGAAGTTATTACTAGATCTTTGCGAGCAACATAGTCTGGAGATAGTTAACACGGGGCCTAAATGTGACGGCCAGATCACATGGGAAGTCGGAAACAAGCAATCAAGTATTGATTATTGTCTCATGACTGAAGGAATTTACCACAAACTGACAGAAATGAGGATAGACGAGGAAGGCATTAACAGCTTGGGTAGTGATCATAAACGAATAACATTACAAATGGGATACGAAACTAAAAATATGAGCATGGAATCAAAGTCTGGCAGCTCGTATTTAAATGACAAACAAATAATAAATATAGCCGCAAGAGTCGAGGAAGAAGTAGGCGAAATACCAGGCAAGGACTGGGAGTATAGGGAGCTGTTACATCTAATGACGAAGGAGATAGGGAAAGAGAAGAAAACCGTTTGCTGGAAAGGAAAAAGGAAGCCAAAATGTTGGTGGAACAAGGAAATCCGGGAGGCGATCGAGAAGCGACGCGAAGCATCACGGGAGCATAGAAAGGCAATAAAGGAGAAGCGGCCGCAGGACGAAGTCAAAAAAATATGGGAAATATATTTGGAGAAAAAATCCCTTGTACAGAAATTGGTAGAGGCAAAAATTAAAGGTGAAAGTGAACGCTGGATGACAGAGATACACGAAAAAAAGGAGGCCGCGCCTAGGATTTTTTGGAGCCACATAAAGGCGCTAGGTAGGAAGTCTGTCACAACGCAACAACATATTCTAGATGAAGGAGGAAATCAATTGGAAGGGTACGAAGCGCTAGGTTACATCCAAAAGGTAACAGCCGATTCGTTTCAAAAGAGCGTCCAGGGGATCTCCCCGGTGAGTAAAAGTGTGGCGGAAAAAGCAACAGAGGAAGAGCTAGTACTAGATAATTTCAACTGGAAAAAGGCCGAAGGAAAAATTCCAAAGCGCACTGCCGCGGGTTTAGATGGGATTCCCGTTAGCCTCATTAACGAACTAGGACATAACACTAAAGAAGCATTGTTAAAAGCAGTAGAAAAA